CGACCCTTACCTGTCGTCCGGCAATTACTCCCGTGCACTCTGACCTCAATACACATAATCTGACTCAACATGAACATAATTATGGAAATAACTTGAAAACAGAACTTTTGTACACTAGACTGCATAGGGCCGTGGCGAGCGCGCCGTGTGCTGCCGACGGCGATAGGCTGTCTCTTGACCGATTCCACCTTTTCCCTCGGCAACTCAAGACCAATTAACATGAAACATCATTTTGAGGCTATCATGACATAAATCACACGGACGAACTTGACCATAACTGAAAGTAACATAACGTGACATGGTTAAGCCAACGGCGTGCGCGACGAGCGCTGCCGACGGCTGTGAGCCGATTCAGGGCTAAAACGATATTTTACCTCGACCATCCTCAAGTAACTGAATATAAAATGATGTAAACTGATCAATTAAACGAAAATATTTCATGAGTTGCCGGGTAAAATTTGAAGTTATTCGATCATGACTTAACTAGGCATAATCGAACCTTAACATGGTATAGCTATGAATTCTTGAACATGAATCGAACACCTCAACCTAAAATGAACTTATTGACATGAGAGTATATTGAGGATAGGTATACCTCCTTGAGTACTCGTCGAAATCGCAACCTGACTATGACCTCGCGTGCGTGTGCCTTGTGTGCGGAAGCTTGCCGTGCGATGCTATGCTATTGGCCGTGCGTGGAGTATGAAAAGCTTAAGGTAATATGCTGATCTTATAGCTGAGTTTAAGGGCTAGTATGGTACGCATATAAGGCTACAAGTTGGATCAAAATTTTCCCAAACTCTTTCTTTATATAGAAACCGAATGGATGACAAGGGAAGATGTGGTTAATTATGCTAAAGACACTTGGGCCTTGTTTAGGGAAATAAGGATGACTAATCCCTCCTAAACTCCCTCATCTTGCCACGTAAACCATATAAATGGGAAGATAAAATGATACCTTAGGCTTAAAAAAAATGGTTTCGGCCTTAATAAGCATTTGGGATTATTTGTACGGCTTTTTAGCCCTAATGGTGTAATTAATGTTTAATTAATCACTTAATTGGGCTAATTAACTTTTAAGCATAATACTTAATTACCAAAATTATTCTGATCGTAAACGGTACGTCGAAAATAATTTTCGGTAATCTCGACTAAAAATAATTAATTCCGAAAATAATAATCGATAACATTATTATATCGGAACTAAAACATAATTTATACTGATAAATTAACGGGATATTACAATCCTCCCTCCTTACAAAATTTCCATCCTCGGAAATTCAAAACATAACTGATAATACATGAACTATGTACATGGAACATAAAATAAGTACATCAAAACTGAAAATCTGGGAAACGAGCGCGAATATCGGATTCTGCCTCCCAAGTAGCTCCGTGGCAATCCCAATGAATGCACACGAGGGGAACATCTCGCTTCAAGAGCCGACGAACCTGACGGTCTAGTACAGCTACCGGTCGCTTCTCGTACGATAAATCTGACTGAACCTGAATATCGGTATGAGGAATGATATGATCGGGGTCGCACACGTATTTACGCAACATAGATGCGTGGAAAACATTATGAATGCCTGATAACTCGAGAGGTAGGGCTAATCGATACGCGACCTCGCCTACTCGCTCAAGAACCTCGAACAGACCAATGAATCGAGGATGCAGCTTCCCTCTCTTTCTGAATCGAACGACTCCACGAATCGGATGAACTCTGAGAAAAGCTGGCTCACCAACCTCGAACTGAATGTCTCGTCGATGATGATCGGCTGAAGATTTCTGTCGACTCTGAGCTGTCCTGAGTCTCTGCCAGATCAACTCGACCTGACCTGCCGTTTCCTCGATCAGCTTAGGATCGAGTACTCGTCTCTCTCCGACGTCGTCCCAATAAAGAGGGGAACGACACTTGGGACCGTAAAGTGCCTCGTAAAGAGCCATCTGAATAGAATAATGATAACCGTTGTTATACGCGAATTCGGCGTACGGCAACAACGACTCCCACTTAGCACCCCTGTCAACAACCAAAGCGCGAAGCATATCCTCAAGCGTCTGAATAGTCCGCTCGGACTGACCATCTGTCTCCGAATGATAGGCTGAACTGAACTCTAGCTTCGTGCCCATCGCCTCATGTAAACTGTGCCAGAATCGACTAGCGAATCTGGGATCTCTGTCTGATACTATAGTAACGGGCACTCCGTGGAGTCGGATGATCCCACGGGTATATATCTCAGCCAACTTGTCCAGAGACATCTTCATCGAAACGGGTAAGAAATGCGCAACCTTAGTCAATCTGTCGACCACGACCCAGATAGCATCGTGATGTTCAGACGACCTCGGTAATCCCGTAATAAAATCCATCGTGAATTCCTCCCACTTCCACCTCGGAATCGGCAGTGGCTGCAGGAGGCCCATCGGACTCTGATGTTTGGCTTTGACTTGCTGACAGGTAAGACATCTCCTGACGAACTCGGCGACGTCCTTCTTCATGTCGCGCCACCAGAACGACCCTTTCAAGTCGTGATACATCTTCGTGCTCCTGGGATAGGCCAGATAGGGTGCGGTATGAGCCTCTGACAAAATCTCCTTCCTTAACGCCTCGACCTTTGAGGTATCAGAGCACGTTTATGCGTCTCTGAAAAAGTCTTTCAGGCAGTAATTTTTAGAAAAACCTAAACCTTCTCGCTCACGCCCCGCCGACTACAGGTAAGTGCTGATTTATGTTTTCAGTTATAAACATGTTTATGCTCAGAAATTATGGATCAGGACTTAGTTAAGATGCTCGAATCAGGATCGGACTTTAGAATTCAGGACGTTCAGATATGACTCTAGAATTCAGTATATTCATGACTCTAGAATTTAGTATCCACCGATATGACTCTAGAGTTCTTCAGGATTCATGTCAGTGGCCATTTTTGGCAACTCATCAAGAGATTTGTATGCCTTAGTAATCAGTCAGAATGTAATCATGTATTCAATAATGTTAAACTTTCTCAATGTTCATATGTCGCCCCGTAGGGAACCCGATCATTTGGCTCCTACTCAGGCCACAGTAGTCGCACAGTTCCGCGACTATCACGCTGAAAAGTTTTCATGGCAGGGAGATCCCCGCATTGTAGATGAATGGATTCAGGGCCTGGAGTTTATCTTTGAGGTCATGGACTGCCCCGATAGATATCGCGTAATCTGCGCTCAGCTTCAGCTTACTGGTGATGCTAGGCTCTGGTGGAATGTCTACTGGAGCATGCGTCCCGGTGAAAAACCGGGATGTACGTGGGATATGCTCAAGGAGCTAGTCAGCGAAAAGTACTACCCCTCTTATTATCGGGCAGAGATGGAGCATCAGTTCTTATCGCTCCAACAGGGCACTCGTACAGTTGATGAGTACGAGCGAGAGTTCACTAGACTTGCAGCTTTTGTCCCGGACCTGGTTCGCACGGAGGCCTAGAGAGCACAGCGGTTCATTGACAGACTTTACCCAGCAGTCCGTCATAACATTGTAGGCCACGGGACACAGACGTATGCTCGTGCAGTTTCTATCGCACAAGAGGTGGACACCAGCATCAGGAGGGAGGCTGTCCGTGATCGTGCCCAGCCATCCGCCCCAGTTCAACCATTTGTAGCTCCACCAGCCCTACCAGCTGCTCAGCCGGCAAAGGAAAAGAAGAGGAAGGGGAAGGGCGCACAGACTGACAGGAGGACCCGACAGAGACAGCAGCAGGTTCCACCGTGCCCGACTTGCGGACGACTTCATCGGGGAGAGTGCCACATGGGTCAGGTCATCTGCTACTACTGCCACGAACCTGGACATTTTGCGAGTCGCTGTCCGAAGAGACTTCAGCAGCAGCCGCCACAGCAGTAGGCCGCCTCAGCAGCAGCAGCAGAGGGGCCGACAGCAGGCCCAGGTTTACGCACTTGATCAGGCAGAGGCAGCACAGCAGCCAGGTACTATGTCAGGGATGGTTGTGCTTAATGATATTCATGTTTTCGCTTTGTTCGATACTGGAGCAACGCACTCATTCATATCACGACGATGTCTTGATGCCATCAGAGTTCATGCCGTTACCGCTGTCGATCCTCTCGAGGTAAGTCTAGCCTCGAGACGAAAGATAGTGACCTCAGCTAAAGCTTTAGATCTTAACCTTTCCATCGGTGGTCGTTCATTGTCTACCGACGCGTTTGTTCTCGAGATGAGGGACTTCGACCTTATTCTCGGAATGGATTGGCTATCCTTTTATCATGCAGATATCAGATGTCATGACCGAGAGATTACTCTTTATCTTCCAGGAGACGAGTCGATTACTTTCTTTGGCTCCAGGAATCGTTCACTGCCTCATGTTGTTTCTATGGCGAAAGCCATTAAGTTGCTGCGACGAGGCAACTGCCAGGTTTATTCGGTGAGCCTTGTCGACGATTCTCAGAAAGCACGCTCACCTCATGATGTTCCAGTCGTTCGTGAATTTGTGGACGTGTTCCCAGACGAGCTTCCAGGAGGACCGCCTAACCGGCAGGTGGAGTTCTCTATCGATCTTATTCCAGGGGCCGGTCCAGTATCCAAAGCCCCGTACCGTAAGGCGCCTAAGGAGTTGCAGGAGCTTAAGGCGCAGATTTAGGAGCTGTTACGACTCGGTTTCATCCGACCGAGCGTGTCACCGTGGGGAGCACCCGTTCTCTTTGTTAAGAAGAAGGACGGATCCATGCGCATGTGTATCGACTACCGGGATCTTAACCGGTTGACGATCATGAACAAGTACCCGCTTCCCAGGATCGACGATTTATTTGATCAGCTGAGGGGAGCTTGTGTGTTTTCAAAGATTGATTTACGATCAGGCTACCACCAGCTAAAGATTAAGGAGTCAGATATCGCTAAGACCGCTTTCAGGACTCGTTACGGCCATTACGAGTTCGTCGTCATGCCATTCGGTCTCAGCAATGCGCCAGCAGTTTTCATGGACCTCATGAACTGTATTTTCCATCCCTACCTCGATCAGTTCATTATTGTCTGTATTGACGATATTCTTATCTACTCGAAGAGCCAGAAGGAGCACGAGGAGCATCTGAGGGTGGTTCTCGAAACCCTCAGACAAGAAAAGTTGTTTGCAAAATTCTCCAAATGCGAATTCTGGCTCCAGCGAGTATTCTTTCTGGGTCATGTGATTACTCAGGCAGGTATCAAGGTGGATCCTTCCAAGGTCTCAGCCATTCAGAACTGGTCGACACCGAGGAGTCCGTCCGAGGTTCACAGTTTTCTCGGTTTAGCTGGTTATTATCGCAGGTTCATCGAGGGTTTTTCCAAGATTGCTCTCCCACTATCCCAGCTGATGAGGAAGTCTGTGAAGTTCGAGTGGACTGATCGTTGTGAGGCGAGCTTTCAGGAGCTCAAGAGGAGATTAACTTCAGCACCGGTGTTGACTATTCCCGATCCTTCTCGGAGTTTCACCATCTTCAGTGATGCTTCGAGACAGGGCTTGGGATGTGTACTTATGCAGTACGGTCAGGTCGTCGCGTATGCTTCACGTAAGCTTATGCCGCATGAGCAAAACTATCCGACGCATGACTTGGAGTTAGCCGCCGTTGTTCATGCTCTCAAGATCTGGCGACACTATCTTTACGGCGGATGTTGCGAAATTTTCATAGATCATAAGAGCCTGCAGTATATCTTTGTGACGCCCCATTTATTTATGAATAATTGGATGTTATTGTTATTAATATTGATATTATTATTATTATTATTATTATTATTATTATTATTATTATTATTATTATTATTATTATTATTATTGTTGATATTATTACTATTGTTAGTATTAATAATGTGTATAATTGTCTAAGTGATTAAATGTGCCTAATATGTATATTATAAATATTAATTGTGTGTTATGATGCTTTAATTAATTATTATTATTAATATTTTAGTCTATTATTATTTATATTTTATTTTTATTTTGCGTGGACTTAAGCCCGGATTTTTTTAAAAACCGAGCTTATGTTCGAACCTGACCCGGAGCTGCGACTCGCGTGCCCAACCCGCGGCCCTTCCCCTCTCTCTCCCACTTGGTTTACTTGTTGGCCAAGACATTGTGTATCTTTTATATATGGGAAGAGAATCCCTTAGCTCTTTTAATTGCAGCTCCCTTTTCTCTCTTTTCCCTTCACCCACACAAACCCTCTCTATCTCTCTCTCGCCGCCGCCTCTCCCTCTCGTTTTCTTCTCGCCGGCCGATCACCACCAGCCATCGCCGTCACCACTGATCGTCCTCCGCCCTGTTCGCGAGTAGAGGATCGTCCCAGGCTGTTGTTCGAGCAATCTGAGGACGTCCAGCGCTCAGCAGACCCGCGACGACCACTCGGGCGAGCCACGCGCAAGCTGCCGAGCCCCGGCGATCGCCCGTCGCTGCCCCTTGGCCCGTTCGATCTTTGTTTTTGTTCGACATTCCCGAGAACGGTACCAAGCTATAAAACCCTCATATCTTTTTTGTATGTATGTGATATTTAAGTGCTGAAATTAATTGGATTTCATGCTAGGGTTTATATTCGTTTGAGTTAATTGCGTGTTATGTTCGTTTTGTGCGATTTATATGATATATGCGTTAAATCGTGAAAGGGCTGTGGATTTACTGGAACATTTGAAGTCTCTGGCCTTATGATGAAGGCCTTAGACGAAATTGTTGATTAATTTGTTAGTTATGCATTTTTTGAATCGAGTAGTGCTGCTGAATATTCGAAAAATCGCCTAAATTCGTATACTCGTCCGATGGCTGCGAAAATTTAACTATATGACTCTCTGATGATGATATAGGTTGTGTAAAAAATTCAAATCAAAATAAGGTCTGTAGCTATGTTAATCGTTGATTTGAAAATCTGACCAGAAACTTGGAAAAATCATTAAAAATCGAGTACTTGGTATTTTTCTGTGAATTTTGGTGAGGGTCAATAATTTGATGATATGTGTGTTGTGTCCAAAATTCGTTGAAAAATTCGAAAGTTTGCCCGATGAACTAGTAAGTTTGGATTTTCGTCGTCTTTTCGTAAAAATTGATTGGTTGAGTTAAATTGAAGTATTAATGCTGAAACTTGGTGAATATATGTTTTTATGGGTGTATTATCTCGTGAATAAATTTGAAGTCAATTACTCGAGTAAATTTTGAAAACGGTCGAGTCAAACCATTTTACGGCCGTCTGTCGGGCCTGCGGTATGCAGTCAGCGCCCAGCGGCCTACCGCAGCGC